ATTTGTAGCAAATAGCATGTTCTGTAGTTTGTAATCTATCAGTGGGTAATGATCTCTTATCCAAGCCTTTCCTCCATGGCAGATAAAGATAAGTAAATTTAAAATTCAGTTAAAAGCGTAAGTCCTATAATATGCACCAGGTAGTGCAAAAGGTGGGAGAGAAGGGTATGTGTGTTACTGAATCTTTAAGGAATCTTTATGTGATATGGAGGGCTTTGACTGTATAACAAGAGAATTGAGATTATAAAAGGCAAGAATGGGACATTTACAAAGAATAGTGATGTATTTCTTGGTTAGAAGCCTCACAAAACATTTTAGAGCATGCAAAGCTGGAGAGATTTATTTTTATTAACATAGTATACCACTCATACTCCAAGTGTTACAAACTATACCACTCATAGTCCAAGCGTTAAAAACAAACCACTTTCAATGATTATTTTTTTTGACCAGAGTCTGAGTGGGCATAATATTAGAAATAATTCATGAATATAAATCAAAACTAAATCGTGAGACCAGGGAAGTTTTCTGTAGTGGAAGGCAAAGGTCATCAAGACAAATATCAGGCACTAAGCCCAACTCCTAACCAGGTGCTTCTGAGGTTAATGAGGATAAGTGGACCAAAGAGTCCAGGCACCTGCTCATCAATAGATTCCAATTTGTTTGGGCTTCAAAGAGGCTATGCTGGTTAGTCTGCAGCAGTGCCTGGAGGATATGGTACCATTTGTGTAACAGAAGATAACCTGCCTGATGAAAACAGTCAGTCTTGAGAGAAGCATAAACAGCTCCTGGTGGAGTAAGAGGCCCTCAGCCCAGGTTTTGAGAAATGCCACCATAGCTAATTAACTGGTGTGGGTCAAAGAAGTTGTACCAAGGTGTAAGAACTCCATGGGAGCCTCTGGGAAGTTTCATGATTTTGTAGTTTGCAGGGTAGATGCCAATGAGACCACAGAAATCTAAACCCAAATTCCTGACCTCTTGTTTTGGAATATGACCTTTGCCTGAGTATACAATAATATCATGAATATAGTTAGGCAATCACCTTGAGAAATTTTCAATTTGTTAAAAATTCATCTATATAAAGAAGAAAAGAAAAAGGAAAACAAGTTAATGGCATTGTAAACACAACCTACTCTTCTTAGAACTCTCACAAAGAAGCCCAGACACTGCCTTGTAAGGGAGGATGCCATTTGAATAAATGCTAATCCAAGGAGACTGAATGGCCTTTATGCCATTTTTTTCAAAGTTATTGCCATAGAAGTCACTTTTTTTTTTTCTGAGAAGGATTTAAAATCTGGTTTTTAAGTATGAGGAAGCAATATAGTGATACTGACTGTCAGATTATAATTTCGGACTAATAGGAGTCACAAAATATTTTTTAAAGGGTTTTTTTCCTCTAAACCCCAGAATCATTCCTTTAACTCATATTAAGAGAAAAATGCATGCTAAGATACATACAAGATTCTGACAGTTACTAGCAATTTACTACCAATAACAATTGTACATAGCAAGAAAAACTACTTTTCACTGTTAGAAAGATTTGCTAAATTAAATGAAATTTTGTTTTCTCCTGCCTAGGTTTTACATTGCCTGAAAAGAAATAAGAATCTAAACATGATGAAAATACTTTTCCTAACCAATTGGCAATATGTTATCTGAACGAAAAAATATGTGAAACTCTTAACCTAAAACCCTCTCTTGGAAACACTGGACGTTTTGGTGTATTTCAATTGGGTTCATTGTTTAAATGTGACATAAAAGAGTTTACTCTTTATTTATAAATAAAGTTGCAGACCAGTTTAGCCTAAGCTCAGCCATGTAATACTATTTTAAGTATTGTTGTGTCTACAAATTGTTTTCCTATAGGTACAGTATATTCAGCTGTACCAGCCCAAATTTATGTTTTCTTGATTTATCAAAAAAGAGATTCATTTTAGAAAGTTGCACCATAGTTAGGTCCTATTTTTCATCTGTTAGCTTTACTAGCTTTCCTTTGATGTGTTGTATTAAAGTATGAAGTATGGTTTTTCACTAACCACTCACACACTTTGGAAGTGGCATTGTTTATTATCCTTAGGATGTGAGAGAAACTAGACAAAGTTAAGACTATGTCAGTGTTCTGTACTAGATAACAGAACTATTTCTTGGACACAGACATTCCTATTCACATTCTACCACTTTTTCCATCCTCTACCTTGTATTTGTCACTTGATGATGCAGTTTCAGTGAATCAGCTAACATGTGTATTCTGTTCCTTAATCCCTGATTTTTCCACTGATTTGACTGAAATCAAATGTTTGTTTTGGAATGGACAGAGAATACTTCAGTATATTTATCTTTACAGTGTACCTAATAATTTGGTCTGCTTCACAGGGATGATGGGAGGTTTGAGACATTTTGTTAAGCTGTAAAGCAAAATTTTTAGGGTGTTTGCTAAAGTAAAATTAGACAATAAGCTTTTCTCATAATGGAAGTATTTTGCCTCCTTCATAGTCCTTCCTTTTTTGTGTGTATGTGGTTTTTGTTTAGTTGGGTTTTTTTGTTTGTTTGTTTTGTTTTGTTGGGTTTTTTTTTGGGGGGGGTTGTTTGTTTGTTTTGAGACTGGTTTCTCTGTAGCTTTGGAGCCTTGTCCTGGAACTAGCTCTGTAGACCAGGTTGGCCTTGAAATCACAAAGATCTATCTACCTCTGCCTCTGCCTCCTAAGTGCTGGGATTAAAAGCATATGCCACCACAGCCCGGCCCATAGCCCTTCTTAAGGAAAAGCCTGCTTGAAGAAGAAATTAGGAGAGATGGTGAAAACATATTCTATATTAATGTTTCCCATCATGGAAAAGGATTTAAACATTCATAGAAAAGAGTTGTACAATTTCAGTAAGCCTGTGACTGCATGCTTCAAGAGTGTGTCCTAGAGATGGGAGATAGAACATGCAAGGACTTTCTGTCTGTTAGAGGTAGGCATAGCCTCAGGCTCATTGAAAGAGGAGGGCTTTTACTTCTGGAAACGTTTTAGCAAATTTTCTTGACTATCTGAAATCTCAGTTTATGAGTTCCTATCTTCCGACAGTGTGGCTGAATGAGGACACTGTTTTAAAATTTAAATTACTAAAGTCTATCACATTTGGTTTAGGTTTCAATCTTGAGTTGCTGGTCTGTCTGTTACAGAGTAGATAATTAAAAGTAGTGAGTTGGCCCATAGTTTTCTTGTATTCACTTAGTACAAAAGCTTGGCTGAAATGCTGATCTTTGAAATTAGAAGGAAGAAGGAAGAAGGACAGAGGAAGAAAAAAGAAATGTAAAGAAGTTCCTAAGCTAGTGCTATGAAACAACTTCTGAGTGCAAGAACATGTGCACAGTGCATGGCATTTGAAGGCAGAGCTCAGTTTGTCTCAACATGCTGCCTCACAACCATTTGTCTTTAGACAGGAGAATTTTATTCTTGTCTGCTGCCTGAGATAGCATGGTATATGCTTTGCATTTTATTTTACCCATAGATGCTGAGGGCAGCTGGGGGTGCTGCTTTTCCAGCACCCAAGCCATAGTCCTGAGGACTGAGGTAGCCATAGGTAAGATTCTGTCATTATAGTATAACTGATTATAGAAAAAGGATACTTTAGTTTCGGAGGTATTTTCTGTGGTGTAGTTTCCTAGTAAAGCTGATGTTCTTGCCTACTATGGCCTCTATGCTGCAGCTTTTAACTCTCTGTGTTGCCACTCTTAACAATTCAGGGTCATTCTTCTCTGATATACTTTGGAGGAGTATGTTTAGAAAACAGGCATCCTCCATGTAAAGAGGTGGAAGCCTGTTGAATATTTGCCCCCTATTTGAAATCTTTGAAGTACATTGAGAGATACTGATTGAAATGGTTAAACAGTCACTATAATACTTGTGGTTTTTCTGTTAAAACATGGGCATAGAAGCATTAAATGTCATTATTAAAGCTGTAGTATTTTAATTATCCATTTCTACTTCAAGCGTCTCTGCCTGTTAGACATGTACATCATTTTATTTTTGAAGAGTAATTTAGGACCATAAATTTTATATGAAATTGTATAAAACTAAGGTTTATTTCTTCAGTTGATAGTAAATAAAACATAATTAGAATATGATTTTATATTTTAAGTTTCAATATCAGACTCTTCTGAAATGTCACACCAGTGTGGCAAATATCTTTAAATGAAAAAAAAAACTTTTCCAGTTTATCAGTATAGGTAAATATAAGTATATTTAAGAATTCAGTGTGGCCAGCCACATGCCTCTAATCCCAGTACCTGTGAACAGAGACAGAGGCAAGAGTGTCTTTGTGATGTCAAGTCAGCCTACTGTACACTGTCTAAATAGTGAGTTCCAGGCCAGCCAGGACTACATAATGAGACCCTGTCTAAAACAGAACAAATATTGTTATACCAAGAGATAGTAGTTGTCATTTTTGTAATGCATGAACTCATTCTGTTCTGTGTTATGAATGTACTTTATTGATTGGCACCTGTTAGTAAATCTGACCTGATCATAGAGTTCCATCACTTGTTATGGATTCTTTTCTGACTAGGTAAATCATAGTCTCTGAAAGTAGAACCTCAGTATCTTTGGGTTTGTTTTTCACCTTAGACAGGAAGAGGAAGAAAAGATATGTACTTTCTTCACTCTGAATAAGTAATCTAATGTTCCATAGCTCCTGCAGAGCTGTGTTCACCAGTGGACTTGTAGTCACTCAGTTGCATTACAGCAAATGCTAAACATTCATAAGTTTGTTTGGAACAAAAGCTTGCATGTCTGCCATATATGTCAGACCTGACTACCAACTCCTTCTGAAAAAGACTCATCAGGATATCATCCTAATAGTTTATATTTCTTATTTTTGGTGGAAGATATTTTAGTTTTCCTTAAATATAGATGTACCACTAGCAGAATCCTCTCATTTTCTTTGACATATTGAAGGTAATGTGTGTATAGGCTGAGTTCTCGAATCAGCTCATAGGGCCTCACCTTTTTTTTTTCTTTTAGACTTTTGGATCTTGTTTCTTCTCAACCACATTCTTTATTTGGATCGAATCACTATTTACCAAGGTCAGTCCCACCACCGTTCCCCTCATAATGAGTACGGGATAGTCAATGAGTTATATTGCATTTGTCTGTAATAAAGAAATGGGTTGGGCTTAGCATTCACAGTCCTTGCAAAGATATGAGTTTGGTTTCTATCACTCACATCAAGTGACTTACAACCACCTATAACTCCAGGGTTTCTGATCCCCTATATCCCCTATTTTGATCTTCTGAGAACACCTTCATGCATGCACATGAATGAGCACACACACACACACACACACACACACACAAATAAAAATATAGAAATAGTTTATTGCCTTTGTATATCTTTAGACTTCAAAGTTAAACCTAGTGTATACCTTTTTGAAAAATGAATGTTCAAAACGTTTCTTTCAAGTATGAAAGATTTAGAATGATAAGACTTAGCAGATAAGGCACTTGCTGTCAAGCCAGACATCCTGAGTTCCAGTTTTGGGACCCACAAGTATAAGGACACAGCTAGGTTCTTCAAATTGTTCTCTAACCTCAGTATGTGCACCATAGTTCACAAACTCTTCCAACACAAAATAAGTAAAGATATAATTTGAAAAAAGAATTAAATGTTTGAATTTGCTCTGGTATTTTGAACTGTTCTGCTTCAAATGTAGTCTAATCATCACAAATGTGTTCTAATCTTCTGCATCCTGAAAACAGTCTCCCTCCTCTCTCAATAACTATATAAAATCTTGATATATAGAGCATGAACAACAGGAATAAATGCACATTCAGTTAGGCCAGAGCCTCTTTTCTGACCTAAATAACAGTTCATTCATGAGATAATGTGACTTGCAGCCAGAGAGAAAAATCTATTGCCTGAGCTGGGGAAGCCTGGCTTAGCACAAACTCTTCAGTGGTCAGGAAATCTTCTAAATTTAGAACAGTCAGAAAAATTGCAGAGCTTCACAGGTCTGGTCTCTATTTCAAAAATAGTTCTTTCTCAAGTTGTGTGTATAATTAGTTCCCTAGATTAGACCTGGTAACCTGCAGTCTAAGTTTTTATTACTATAATATCCCATGTTATTAAAGGAATTTGGTGATTAATCATTTTTTTTCTATTTTTTAAGCTTTTAAATATATAACTTGAGGAATTCACATTTTTGTCAAAAAAATTCTTCTTCTTTGAAGAATATATATGGGATAGCTTTAACACTAGAATGACCTGAGATTCTTTTGAAAAAGAGATTGGCAGAAAGAAATTCATAACACGAGTTAATATCCAGTGAATAATCTAATTTATTGGCTAAAGGGTTTTCTGGATCATTTTAAGTAGTGGTTTTTGCTGTATTGATGTCACAATGGGAAAGGGGCCACCAAGAAAAAACTTAAACCTAAAATGAAGTTCAAACTTCATTCATCCAACAAGTGTTTATAGACTATCACAGAACAAAGGGTCAATTTCCCTTAGATTTACCGGATAAACATACATACATACATACAGTCTGATAGGAGAAACAGAAAATTGATAATGCAACAACTATGTTCAATGGTGCATGGGCTGGAGAAGATAGAGCAGGACAAGGGAATTTGGAGAGGGATTAGTTAAATATGGTGTCAGTATAAACTTTATCTAAAAGGTAATACATGATTAAAAAAAAAAAACAAGGACATAAAAAGTATGTCATGTGGTAATGTTAGGACACTCCTGGCAGATGACGCATCCAGTGAAAATGCTGTGTGGAATGGGAATGTTTGAACAAGAGCCCAGGACAGCTGTGGCAATTGTGGAGGTGAAGTGGTGCAGATGAGCAGAATACAGGGAAACATGGATATAGTAGTGTCCAGACTACCTAGGTTCTTGCAAAAATTTTATTTTATCAGTGCATGGAAAGCCTTTGAAAGTGAGCAGAAAAGCAAATGATCTGGCCCCACATGTCTTGATAGTTATCAGAAATTTTTGCCTTAAATTCTTCTATCTTTTCTGGAATACCAAGCATCAATTGCCATGCCTGGGTGATGGGTGAGAATTACAAATTGACCTGGAAGTACATGCAGCACCTTATGGGATTCGTATAACAATTGTTTGTCTGAAGCAAAACAATCAAGGTAACACTTTTCTTGGCTCTACAGTAATTGTAATGTGGTATGCTAAATACTTGATGCAGATGATTTTGTAACTGAGGCAGAGAACAAGAAACAGGAGCATATATGAACTCATCATGAGTGTTAAGTGAAAGTAGTCAACAGTAAATATTATAGGGATAGTTTAAGTAAGAGGAAAACTTTAAAATTTCTTACTGAACTGAGATATTTGATACTTGCAGAAATCATTAAATAACTAATAAGATTCCAAGTGAGAGAGGTAAGGCAGTTGAGTTAGGTTTTGTTTTGTTTCTTTGTTGTTTGTTTTGGAGAAATTTGGCTGTTTAAAGAAAGTCAAGATAGTAATATCAAATGATCATATGCTAATGAACCTGTGAGCCTGTTCATTTTCATGTTTATGCCTTGATTTTATTTTTAATGTATTTATTAATGTTAATCTTTAATTTAAATCAGTGTCCATGTATGGGCTACTTGAGTGTTCATGTTTTTGAACATTCAAATCCAAGAGTCTCCTTGAATTCTGACTTACCTTTTATGGCTAAATATAAAAGGCATCAATTTTGATAATCAAGTTGAAGATAATGAGGTTGTATTAACCAGGCACCCAACCAAAGTTACATCAAATTCATTATTCACAATAGCCCTATAAGTTTGATTTGTTATTATATTTGAATGTGATGAAACAGTTCAAATAAGGGACATTTCCTTTCAGAGATCACTCATGTAGGAGGAGTTAGAGCTGAGATTCATACTGAGAAATGTCAGGCTCCACATTTCCCGAGAGGTCTTCTCACAGCAATAGTGGCACAGTCTAAGTAATGAAATGACTTTCATGAGGGTTTTCCAATCAAGACTAGGTATTTGTAGAAATGGTACTACATGCCTGTAATGTCAGCATATTGGAGCATAAGGCAGAAGGAATTGGAATTTGAGGTGAAGCTAGGCTAGCCAATGCTACACAGCAAGATATTTTCTTAAAATAAACAAACAGCATTTTAGGATTACTCTTACAACTAGTAAAAGAATAATGTTGATTAAAACTAAGAATATGCTGTGAGAAATTTGTTTTTAGGCACTGGATGTGCCTTCCTAATGCATTTAAGAGATGTGGACATGGGATGCATGAGACTGCTACTAGCATAACACACCAACTGTTTTACAGTACCTTTTCTAATTATATAAGGTTTAGAGTTTTTATTCTAAAATAATGATGAAAATGTAGTGAATGTATAAGCAAGTACACAATTGTTTATTATAAAGTATTGTATATAACTGTATGTGCTAAATTTTCATACAGCAGTCAGAACAGTAAGTTTGCTTATATCAGCATAACTGCAAACGTGTGAGTAATGTATTGCACTGTGATGCTGTCACTGACAAGTAGTTTTTCATCATTATCACTGTCATATACGAAACCCATTATAGATCAAAACATGATTGTGCAGCAGATGACCATATATTCATACAACCTGGCAGTACAGAACCAATTTAAGATCAGTTTCATTGCTTCCTAATCTTCCTAATGTTGCCTCATACTACATTTCTCAAAACTGTGTTGTTGTTGTTGTTGTTTCATTTTTATTTAGTCCTTTTGAAGATTGAATTATAAAACAGGTTTCCAGAAGCTTTGGAAATGTGTTTCCAATCTTTCACCACTCTTCTTACTGTTACTTCAATACTTTGAGACCCCCAATGCAGGAAAAACAAAAAAGGAGATAGGAAATGTTTCATATTTCACCCTATTAAATCCAAAGTAAATGGGTATTATGTTAGCAAAATATTTGACACACATAGAAAGAAAACCTTAAATAAATGAATGGCATAACTAGCATCATTGTTGTACTAGGTTGATCATGTGTTGAAATAAAATAATGTTTGTAATGACAACCTTGGGCATGGAGATTGCCTTGCATGTTATATTATTATAATTTCTTAGCAGGGTCATGCTGACCAAGAGTGTCTGAAGCTAAATTTTGTATTGCTAAGTAAAACAGAAGAAATTGTTGGTGTAGGTAAATTCAAGCCATGTTCTTTTACCAGGTTTCTTAATTTTGAAATTATTATATAATTACATTTCATGCTTCCACTTCGTTCCTACAAATTCTCTCATATGCACCTCCTTCTCTCTTTAAATTCATTTTTGCCAGTTAAAGAATTTAGATTTATTTATTTTATATATAAGTGGCATGTATGTATGCATGTATGCATGTATGCATGCTTTTTATGCACCACATGCATGTCTGATGCCCATAGAGGTCAGCCTATGGAAAGCACCAACAACTGAATCTTAAAGAATTACTGTTTTCCCTCCTGGGATTTGTTCCTTCTAGTCTTCCTCCCCTCTTCCTCTCTCTTTGTAGCTTACATCAACTTGTTGACATGCATGCAACAAATTACTTATTTGTATGCCTTGAGGGAAATATTTTGGTGTCACAGTATGAAAATCAGATCTTGGTGCTTGATTTTGTTTTAGCCACATCATAATGAGTGCTTAGAAGGTCATAGGTATTTGTTTTGTTGCTCATTACCTAGACCATGAAAACAGTGTAAATACTTGTTTTCTTGCTTTAAGGGTATAGTATGACCATTGGCCTTTGAGGACCATGGTAGTTTGACATTGTTCTTTCCAATTCATATCTGATCACAGTGACCTTGGGTGACCTTTTAAGACCCAGGATTTTGGTGCAGCTGTTCACTCTTTCTAAAATTTAAAACAGATGTGTAGAGGAGCACCCAACCCAAAGTTTGTAGATAGCATGGAGTTTAAATGACCTTAGGGCTTTAGAAATCATCCTAAATTTGTAAAATATATTTGAATGATTTTTTTTAGGTGAATCTCATTTTCCCATCTACCCAGTCCTCCCATTTTATATTAAAACATACAACTGGATATGGGCCTAAATATTTTTAAATATACTGGATATGGGTATCACCATTTTCCT